TAAGAGAATGCTACAGACTGGGAGAAAATATTTGCAAACTATGTATCTGACAAAGGATTAGTATCTAGAATATATAAAGAACTCTCAAAATCCAGTAATAAAAAACCTGATAGCCTTAAATCTACTAAAGTTGAATTTAAAATTTAAGACTTCCCCCCCACAAAAACAAAACTAAAAACTCCAGGCCTAGATGGCTTTACTGGCAAATTCTATCAACCATTTAAGGAAGGAAGAAATGTCAATCCAACACAAATTCTTTTAAAAAGTAGAGTAGGAGAGAACACGTCCTCACTCACTTTGTGTGTAACCCACTAAGACATAAACCTGGGAGCAGAATTGCTAGAAGATAGTAAATATATATTTTAAGTTTTTATTTTAATTACCCATTGTTCGTCACAAGTGCACTCCTTTATCCTTATCACCTATTTAACCCTTACCTCTACCCACTTCCCCTCTATCAGAGTTACCTATATAAAAAGTTCTCTTAGTTAAGAATCTGTTTCTTGGTTTGTCTCTTTTTTTTCCCCTTTGCTTGTTTTTTTTTTTTTTTAATTTCACATATGAGTGAAATCATATGGTATTTGTCTTTCTCTTATTTTGCTTAGCAATATACCCTCTGGATCCATCCATGTTGTTACAAATGACAAGATTTCATTCTTTTTATGACTGAGTAATATTCCATTGTATATATGTACCACCTCTTTTTTATCCATTCATTAATCAATAAGCACTTGGGCTGCTTCCATAATTTGGCTATTGTAGATAATGTTGCTGTAAACATCAGGGTGCATATATCCCATTGAATTAGTGTTTTTGTATTCTTTGAGTGAATACCTAATAGTGCAGTTGCTGGATGGTAGGATAGTTGTATTTTTAACTTTCTGCGAAATCTCCATACTGTGTTTCCATAGTGGCTAGACCAGTTTGCATTCCCACCAACAGTACAATAGGATTCCTTTTTTCTCCATATCCTCGCCAAGACTTTTTTCTTGTGTTATTGATTTTAGCCATTCTGATTGGTGTGAGGGATATCTCAGTGTAATTTTGATTTGCATTTCCCTGATAAGTGATGATGACCATCTTTTCATGTATGTGTGTTAGCCATCTGACTGTCTTTTTTGGAGAAATGTCTTCTTTGGAGAAATTAGACTATTTGGTGGGGGTGTGTTGAATGCTATAAGGTCTTTATATATTTTGAATACTAACTCTTTATCAGATATATCATTTGCAAATATCTTCTCCCATTCTGTAGGCTGCCTTTTAGTTTTGTTGATTGTTTACTTCGCTGTGCAGAAGTTTTTTATTTTAAATATTTTTTTAACGTTTATTCATTTTTTGATAGAGACAGAGCGTGACTGGGGGAGGGGCAGAGAGAGAGAGGGAGACACAGAATCCAAAGCAGGCTCCAGGCTCCAAACTGACAGCACGGAGCCCGATGCGGGGCTCGAGCTCACGGACCATGAGATCATGACCTGAGCTGAAGTTGGACGCCCAACTGACTGAGCCACCCAGGCACCCCGAAGTTTTTTATTTTGATGTAGTCCCAATAGTTTATTTTTGCTTTTGTTTCCCTTAGCATATAGTATATTTAATTTCACCAAGTGCTGCTAGATTGCTCCCCAGAATAACTACACCAGGATAACCATCTACCAACAGTGCATGAGAATGCTTATTTTCCACTACCCCCCGCCCCCGACATTTGGTATGGTAGAGGCAATGGAAAGCTGTAAGGAGAATGAATTCTGAGGACAAATGTCTAGATTCATAAACTGGCTCTACCATTTTCTGACTTTGTGACCTTGGATAATTTACTGAATCTGTGTCTGTTTTCTCGTCTGTAACATGGAATAGTACCTATCTTATAGATACCAGAGCTTCTTAGACATTAGTGGGTAAAACTGGTACTTTTTTCCGCCCATTTCAGACATTTCCCTCTATCCTATTTCTGAATAAGGATTTCAAATTAGACTGAAAAGCTACAAAAATAAGTGAGTTTCAGGTGAGTTACAGAGCAGTAGTCCATGAAAGTATTGGTCTTCGGATTATTAGTGTATACAGTGAATACGGAACAGAATCACAAATTTCCTTACAAATTGGGACATGTAAATAAAATTTAGCTCCTTTCTTAGTTACTGGTCTGGTTTTCCCCACAAGCCTCACTCCCTCCTCCACTCCACTGGATAGTAGTAGAGTCTAGAAATAAATTCAGTCTCTTCGGGTTTCATTTTTTTTTCTACCTTTGCTCCTCTCCAAAGTGGCATCTGGGTATAGAAGGGAGGGCTTATGTGGCATTTTGGTATTAGAAGGAAGGAGTCCCCTGGCTTAATAATGGTTCTTGGATGTGCTCAAGCTGGAATCTTCTGGGTATGGCTTGCCCTGCCCCACACATAGGCATTCTGCCAACATCTCCTTCTAAAGCTGATGAATTGGTGGTCTCTGCTTTCAGGGCCTTGTGCCCCTCCCTGCCACTTTGGCCTCCTCTTTAGTGCTGCAGACCCCAGTGATTCTCTGCCTCCTATTCCATCCAGCCAAAACGGTCTCTGTTCAGTATCCATACCATAGAGGGGTCAAAGGACACTTATTCCTGGCCATGCCATTCTGCCCTCTTCATGCTCTTGGGGCCATGGTAGGTCCATAATGCAGAGTAGTTTCCTTCTAAAGTCTCAGTAGAAAAAAGGGCAAATGCTTCCTTGCCCTCAGTACCTCAGTTTACTCCTTCATCCCAAAGTCCCAGATGAGGTTGATTTTGTCTCTACTTTATCTACCCCCATCTGTCAGGACAGGATGGGACCTGTTTCTCCCTTCTGTCATCTGTCTTCCTTCCTTTCATTGTTTGGGACTTTTGATTTCCTAGTGGGGTTTTAATTTATCTGGTCGACAATTTCAATAGTGGAATTGTTAAATCTGGAACATTTTTACATAGCAGTCATTGTATTTGAGCAATGCAGTAATATGGTACTTATTTTATAATCTCTAATTGACTAAGTTTAATAACTTGGCTGGACATAATTCAGGAATAAATTTCTGTTGATTATACCTCAGTAAAGCTGAAATTGCAAAAATAAAAAAAAAAGGAGAAAATCCTACATAAAAGAGAAAAAGATTGAATTTCAGTCTAGAGAATGGCATGGTTTTGTAGGAAATGTTCTGTGCTAACCAATTTTAGATCATTGCTCCCTGCTCCCACTGGAGAATAGATAGTAGCGATGGTATATATGGATAGAGCACAGGGTTCATTTATCCAAAAGGACCTCTTTAACACTCTGCCAATATCCTCTCCCAAAGGAATACCCATGCGTCTGGTTGACTGTGGAAAAGAAAAGGAAGGGGTTTCTGAGGAAAGTGGAATTTTTGCTCCTCTGCTCAGCCTTTTGTTAAAGGACATCAGTTGCATCACAGTCACTGGTGAAGGTGTGACTGGAAGAGGTTGTGTACCAATGCTCAGTAGACACTGCCATTTGCATTACTTCCCACCACATAGCTCATACCTAGCCATACAGAGAGGGAAGTAGGTTGCACCTACTGAGTTTTGGTGCTCAGGGGCAAGGAGAGGAGCCCGTGTAGGTCTTTAGCTCAGCTGTACAACTAACCTAGCTTTTATCAGAGAAGTTTGTCCTGGGATAGCATGCAATCAGTTAATAAGCATATCAAAGTTTGAGCATATCAAAGCAGAACTCTTGATTCCCTATCCCCCAGCCAATTTCCCATCTCAATTAATGACACCATGATCCACTCAGTTGTTCAAACCTAAATCTCAGAGTCATCCTAAACTTGTCCTCTTCCTTCACTCTTCACATCCAGCCCATCAGCAAATCCTATGGCTTTGCCTCCTGAATATTACCTAAATCTATCAATTCTCCATCTCCGCTGTTGGGACTCTAATCCAAACTCCATCATCTTCCACTAGAATTACTTCAAGCCTCCAAATAAATATTCCTCCTTGTTACTCTGGAATTTCTTCTATCCATCCACCACAGAATAGCCAGAGTTATCTTTTCAAAATCCAAATTAGATCATGTCCTCTCATACCTAATACTCTCTACTAGATTCCTCATGCTTTTTAAAATAAAATACAAGATCATTATCACAAAAAGGCTGTATGTGGCCTACCCCTTTCTATACTTTTCCATCATTTTGTATCACCCTGCCCCTCATTCACCACACTCCAGCTACATGTTCTGTCCTGCCTCAAGACCTTTGCACCTACTGAGGGCTCTATCCAGAAACTCTCCTCCTAGATCTTCAAGTAGCTCCCTTTCTAATGTTTAGGAAGCATCCCCTGACCACCCAAGTTATACTAACTGCTTCCCTCTAGTCGTGCTCTAACATGTCAGCCTCCTTTATTGTCTTTATAACACATAGAAATCATCAAATTTAACTTATCCATATGTTGACCTTTTCCTTCTCTGTCTTCCTGCTTTGGAACAACCTCATAAGTGCCAGGAAGAGCACGTGACCCAGAGGAGTGCTCAATAAGTAATTGTTGAATGCACATAAAACCTTGTATCTTAATTTGGCTTTTATTTTTTATGTGTATGACTCACTGGGAGAATCCATCCCAGGGGAGGGGATGACTGGTAGGGCCAGACTGAGGCATTCTCAGTAATACAACCAAGGCTCTAAAAAATAAATTTTCCAGTTCTAATGTTCTCTATAAAAATATCCCTTGTGAAAAAAAAATGTGTGTATGTATGTATGTATATGTGGAGATATATATATATATCTCCACCCCTTGTGGATTTAGCACAAGTACTGAGACCACAATAGAAAGCTGGGCAAGGATTCAGGATCCTGTGTATTAGCCATCCCCATCTGCCTAGAGCCTTGGATACGTGACCAACACTAGGCCCATCTTCCCACGGAATACCCACATCCCCCTCTCAGTTGTGCACACTGGGGTTTCCCCTTAGCATGTCAATTTTCCATGTGCACACCACCTTGCACTACTAAATCTCAGAAACCTTTAATCGAATCACCCCAACTTTATTTTGGTTGAGGGCTCATGGCAAGGGTGGGCTGCACACATGGACTCTCAGTTGGTCACAGGTGGCGGGGCTGAGCTTCGTGGGCAGGGGCAGGTACATCAGGATGTTCCTGCTGTGCAGCCTAACAATGCCTAGGGGGCCTTCCATGTACACAGGGCAGAAATACACAGCCAGACCGGCTGGGGGTGTCAGGTCATTGGCGCCCCGAGCCTGGACGCAGACGCTGACAGGAGGCAGAGGGCAGGGCTGGCTGGAGGTGCTGTCCTGCAGGGCCCCTGCTAACGGGTCCCACTCAGCGTTCCGGAGCTGTAGCCCAATCAGCAGCAGCCCCATCTCTGGAACTGTAGGATTTGGGCTGTTCACCACCTGGGGGCGCAAGAAGCTTATCAGGCAAGGCTAGGAGGGGTCCTGGGGATGCGGGGTATCCGAGCAGATGGGCCTACTGAAGGGGAAAGATCACAAAGAGGCAAGATGGGGTAATTGCACGATGTAATCAAGGATTTGAGGGGGCGGAAGTGTAAACGGAGGGATGGCATGAATATACCTGGAGGTGCAAAGGGTTGCTGTTCAGCTCCTGACGTTTGTATGGGAGCCCACTGAAGCCAGGGCCTTGGCATTCAGGGAGATTCGAGCTGGGCACACGCTGGTGCAGGGCGCCCGTAGCAAAGGTAGCCTCCGAGCGCAGTGACAGCAGCAGGCGGCGCGGGTGGCAAAAGGCTGATAGGTGAAAGATGCGCCCTGGTACTTGGGCGTCCACCCCCAGGTAGCGAACCAACAGCTGCCCACGGCGGGACAGCTGTCGCAGCCAATGCCAGGGCGGCTGCGGGCCGGGAAGCGCATAGGGACGCCAAGGCGGGGGTAGGCGGCCAGTCCAGAGAGCGTGGGCCACCGCGGCACAGCGCCGGGAGGCGCACGGGGGCGCGCCTTTCAGCTGCTGCAACAGGCAATCAAGGTCGCATAGCACCGTGCGCGCCAGCTGGCTCAGTTCCAGCACCTCGGTCTGGAGGAAGGCCTGCAGAGGCCGCTGCCGCGGCACCACCCACCCGGCGCCAGACTCTTCCGGGCGGGCGGTGTCCATGAGCAGAGCCTGCAGTGACTCCAGCCTCCTCTTGGCCTGCACTAGGCGCTGCCGCAGCCGCCTTTCCGTGCGCCTGGAACCTCCTCGAGCCGCAGGAACCCAAGCGGGTAGACTCCGCTGTAGCGCGCTCAAGAGAGCGCGACTCTTGCGGTGCAACAGCCAGGCCCGGGGGCCGGCACTCAGTCCGCAGCTCTGGGGTTCAGGAGGTGTGGGCAGTAGGTGCATCTGGGCCTTGCACTCTGCCAAAGCATCCAGTTCCCCTAGCTCTTGGAGGTGGAGAGAGGGAAGAGAGATAGATAAGATGGACTCTGCCCCACCCAGACTCAAGGGAGTAGGCCTTCCTCTGACATTTAAGCCACCATCCCATAACTGTGTGAATATTGCCCCCTCCTACACCTTTGTAGGATGCAGCTCACATTCCTGAGAGAGTGGCATGGCATGGTTCCCCACCCCAACACAGATACCTGGCTGGAGCTTACCTGGGCTGGGCAGCAGGGTGGCCAGCAGATACTGGGGTGTGTGTGGTTGAGCCCAGCTCCCGCTGCTGGGGCTCAGACAGGCTTGTGTTAGGCTAGTCAGGGCCTCCCTGTCCTTGCTGTCTCCCACAGGACCCCCATAGAAAACCGAAGCTGAGAATGAGGTCAGAACCCCTCAGTTCTAGCCTCTCCAGTTTCCACCACCTCCCAAACCCAAACCAAAAACTCAGTACTCCCACTCCCCCTGCCCCTTCCAGGGCTTTCCATGGGGACAGGAAGATTCTCACCAGCCAGCTCCTGCATGGCAGCACTGGGATTGCTAAGGCTGGCCCACAGCTGGTCTTGGATCTGAAGGACCTGGGTCAGGGTCACTTGACTCCTGGGGGAGGGGAGCAGGAAGCAGGGTTTCAGAACCATTTATACGCTGAGGACTCTGGTCTGTCTAGCCCAAGCTCCCAACTCATAAGGGCTCACCAGTCATTTGCACTTAGCACTTCCAATATAACTTGTTTTTTTGTTTTTGTTTTTGTTTTTTAAAGTAGGCTTCATGCCCAGCCCCGAGCCCAACATGGGGCTTGAACTCAGGATCCTTAGATGAAGAACTGAGCTGAGATCAAGAGTCAGATGCTTAACCAACTGAGTCATCCAAGCACCCCTCATACAGCTTGCTTTTTAACTGAAATCATATTTCCCCCATACCAGCCACCCAATTGTCTTCGGCAGAAATCTGGGAGGCTGTCTTGACTCCTCCTTCTTCTTCACTCCATATTTACTCTCTATCTCTACTATGACTACCCTAGTCCCTTCCACCCATACCATGGCCTTGTCCCTTGAGACTGCCAGAGCCTCCTTTAAAATTGCTCTGCTTGCCTCCAGCCCTATCCCATCTGGTCCATTCACACTGCAGTCCGTGAGAGTGATCTTTCCAACAGACAACTAGGATCACATTTCTTTTCCTACTTAAAACCCTCCAGTGGCTTCCTACTCTCCTCAGGATAAAATCCAGTCCCTTGCCATGATCTTAAAGGCCCTTTACCATAAACCTTGCCTGTCCCCACTCAACCTCCCAGCGTGTCCACCTCAGCCACACTGAAATCTCCCTCCTGCTGAGCCTAGATCCCTCTGCTCAGAAAGGCCCCATTGGTACCTGATCTGCCTCTGCTTCCAAGACTCAGTTCAAAGTGAGATCTCAAAGTCCTTGGAGGAGACTTTCTTGACTACCCCCCTGCCCTCACACTTTGGTGCTTCCCAGGCATGAATTAGTCATACTCATCCAGGATGTGGAAAATGCACAATGTTTGCTGAGTGACTGACTGAGCAAGATGGATGGGGTCCCTCACCAGCGGCCCCTGTGTGCCTGCAGCTTCATTCCATAGAGCTGCCGGTATAGCAGGAGGCCATGTAGGAGGACCAGAGGCAGTGTCCTGGTTGGGGATTGTACATTCCGTCCTTGCTGGGCTAGCTCCATGCTGTTGATCAAGACATGGCCCAGCTCCAGGGACTGGTCCCAGAAAACAGGCATGGAGTGCTGAGTCAGTACAGCTGGGGCAGAAGGAGAGTGCTGGGTCAGCACAGCACAGGTACCATCCTCCTCCAATCTGAGAGACTATAGTGGGGAGCTCCTCACCTGGTAAGGAAGCAATAGCCTCTGCAGACAAAATAAGCCAAAGACGAAAATCTCTGTGGACAGTGGCCATGTTCCTGCTTGCAGGTTGGGCCAGAAGCAGTTCTGACTCCAGGTCCGAGACCACTAGGGGTCAAACATGGGGCTGAGATCAATCACTGGGTAAAGGGTCAGATGTAAATTTAGGGATCAGACTTGAGGCTCAAGGGTCAGGAGTCAGATACAAGGGACAGACTTGGAGTGAGGGGATCAGCCATGAGGCCTGAGAGTTCAAGGTCAGGCCAGGTACTGGACAGGGTCCAAGAAGCCATATTTAGGTAGCAAACGCACCCCTGGCTCCATCCAACAGCCTCCACAAAGGCTGTAGCAGCTCCTTCGGCCAGTGAGGCATCAGATGACAGTTCTCCAGCACCAGCCAGTGCCCTTTGTGCATAGCCTGGCATAGAGTGCTAACCACTACCGAGACTGGATCCCAGGCTTCAGAGCCCAGGGCGATCACCTCCAGATGCTTCTGTCCCTGAAGACCAACAGAGAGGTGGCAGAGTAACTCAAAGTGATCCTAGGTGACCCAAGGGACCCAAGGTAATGCCACAAATGACCCCCAAAAGTCCCTGAATAAGCCAGAAAGATCCATGGGCATGCTGGGAGGGACCACCACACCCCATCTCAGTCCACAGAGGTCTGGTGTCTGTGTGGCCAACAAGCAAGGCTCAAACCTGCTCATGCCTGGCAGCCAGTTTCTGGATAACAGTCAGGGGATGCATGGTGGCTGTGGGGTGACCAGGTGGTGGCAACAAGATCAGCACGGGCTGAGTAGCCTGGCTGTGTTCCAAGGGTATGGTGGAGGCATCCAGGTTTTCATCCAGGGGCCGGCCCAGGAGGCTGGTGGTAAAGTCAGCCAGGGCCCCTGCCAGGCACTCAGGTCGCAGCACACGCCACAGAATCAGCTTCTGGAGGAGACTAAGTGGATCAGGTCCAGGCCCAGGCGCAGGACCCAGCACTGTGGATGACAGGGACAGATAAGCCTGCCAAACATTGGAGTGGTGTGCCAGGGATGCACACAGCCCAGCGAATGGTGGCAGCAGCTCTAACATCCTACATTCTTGCCAGGCTTTCAGCCCCAGCCAGGCCGGTCGAGCCACACTTGGCTTGCTGTAGCCTGTGCTAGGAGAGGCTGCCAGGCCAGGCCAAAGTGCCAGCCTCTCCAGCTCTGGTGCTTTCCTTGCCACTTGCAGCAGAGCCAGAGCACCCAAGGCACCCACCAACGGTAACTGGGTCAGGCCCAGCGCAGCCACAGTGCTGCCCAGTAGCTGGCGGGTCAGCTGTGTTCTCAGCTGCAGCAGATGGCTGGGCAGGTCCTCCCCTTGATGAATCTCATACTGCTCCATGCTGTTCAGGGCCCGCTTGGTGGCTGCTAGCCAGTTGTCTGGGTGCATACGGAAAAGTGGAAGCAGGTTCTGCAGTGGGCTAAGTGCCTTTATAATGGCCATTCCATGCCAGACCACACGCCGATAGGGTGCCCACAGTACCACCTCCTGCCGTCTCATTTCTTCTAGCTCCTCACAGTGGGCACGCAGCTGACATAGCTTTGCCTGGGCCCTCACCATCTCCCGGAGGAATTTGGCTGGTTTCTGATGTTTTGGGTTCTGGAGCAGCAGCATCAGCAGCAGCCCCTCCTGCAGACAGTCACCTGTTCCATGGGTCTGATTCTTTCTCACGTGGTTCCCCCACCATCCACACTCATCTCCACACCCATATCTGCCCCCCACCTCGAGCTCATCCCCACCCATAACAGGACCCCCAGGCACCTCAGCAGCCTCCACAGCTTCAAAGGAATCCAGGGCTCTGATCTTTATGTCCTGCCAGCGGCTCTCAAGCTCGGGACACTCAACGCACAAGATTTCGTGCAGCATCTGTTCCTCTAGGATTTCCATGTTCAGGCTCAGATCCAGTACATTCAGCCCCTTCAGCAGCTCATAACCTAGCACTTGGGGTCACATAGGGACATAGGGGATGCTTAACCCCTTGACAGAACCAGGGTTGGGGTACACAGAGAGTATGGCACCCTGCTGCAGTGCTGAGCCTGCTCGGGGTCAGACTGAGTGAAGCTGGAGACCTGGTGTGTCCACAGAGCTGTGGTGGCAACTTACCCACTGGCACTCACCTTTTTCCAAGGCATTGAGGGGGAGAGTAGTGCTCAGATAGAGACAGAAGCTGGGCTGCACCTGGGGTGGGCTCAGCTTCTCCCGCCGCAGTAGCCATTGTAGTTCTTGGCACCCTAGGCCCAGCTCCATGTTGGTCAGTAGCACGGGCAGGCCTATGAGGGGGAGGCAAGGACACTCTATTCACCATGCCAGCACCCAGCCCCCTCTCCTGTACAAAATCTGGCTCTCATTGGCTCCCCCATGGATAATAGGAGGATTCCCTCAGGGCTCTTCAACAGAGTTAGTGCTTGGGTTAAGGATGGGAGCAGAGTTCAGGCTGGGGGTGAGAGGCTTGTGGGGCCACAGAAGGGGGACATGGTGAGTGGGGACCAGTTCTCACCACTGGCAGCTGCCTCCTGGAGCTGAGAACCCAGCCCTGGGTCAGTGCCTGAGAGCACACTAAGGGAGGGAAGGGGCAGAGCCACAGTCTCTGAGGCCGGCCTTGACCTCTGTCTCTCTGTCTTCTTCTTCTCCTCCTCCTCCTCCTCCTCCTCCTCCTCCTCCTCCTCCTCCTCCTCTTCGTGCTCTTGCTTGTTTCCCTCCTCCTCATTTTCTCTGTCCTCTGTCTTCTGCTCTTTTGT